ATATATAAAAAAAATAATAAACTAAAGTATTTCAATGAGATTGGTTCTGAAAACAAATAGAATACTATCCGTACAACATTTCAATAAAATCCTAATAAAATCTCCATAAAATCCTTTCAAAAAGTTATTCTCATGAAATTTTCCCACACGTGAACATCCAAAATTGAATAGAGCTTCGAATGAAATAATGAAATAAAAACTTAACGGGAGTATTTGCTATTCTTATTATGGATATATGAATGTAACTCACCCAAGTAGTAAAACGAGAATGGACAATAGGAAGGCCAGGAATCCAGGATGCTCCGAGGGTTTATAATCTCTGATTGGGCGACAGGCGAGCCAGAGCTCAGTGCCAGGAATCACGCACGCCAAAATACAGCAGACTCCGAGAAGCGAGAGGAAACCGACCTCCATATGCATGGACTGGAACACGATATAAATTTACGCTTATATCTGTGTATTCAGGTAAGATATATGTCCAGGAGTACTTCTATCTAAACACAAGGTTGAGTTGGTCTTACCTCAGATATGAGTTTCGATGGTGTTATACGGTCTTCCAGGGCGTCCCGGAGGAGATCTAACATTCACAAAGATGCATCTTTATTGAGCTTACATCTATCTTTCGATGATTTTCGAATTTTCCATGAAATTTGCGGTAGAATTTCTATAGAAATTATTTATAATTATTTACAATATCTATTGATAAATTTCTTACAAAATGTTATCTATTATTATTTCATTAATTGATTTTATTTTCATTATTTTATTAATTTATTCAATAATAGTAATTACATTTAATAACCATTTGGTATTAATTGGTAATATTTGAATTAATTAATGGATTAACAATTATTAATAATGATCATGTATGGTAAATGGTGGGTGCATCGCGCCCGCAATACGCTTTTTATTTAATAATTTATCTTAGAACAGCACCAGGATAAGGAGAACAATTTAAATAAACAAAATTAGAGAGAGGTAAAAGAGCCTTTTGTAAAATGGGTCCAGAGCGCAAAAACTTTTGCTGCTATGAGTGAGTAGAGTTGCAGAGGTCATAGGAGAAAGATATACCTTAGTGCGTTTAATAAAAGTTAACGTCTAAGCCTAATTAGTTTTATTATTTACTAATTCCTGCCCATAATCCAATGTCTATGCATTTTAATTGAAAGTCATGTGTAAATAAATTTAAATAAAAGAAGTATGGGCTGTATACTGTAAAGCAATAAAAATAATAAAATAAAAAAAGTCCTTCTATAGAACTCGAGTTCTTTAGATCAGCTTTTTTATTTTATAATTTTTATTGCTATAATTCTCTAATTTACGACAATTTGTTGCAATTGCTAATGATTCTTTAATATTTTTGTAGAAATTCAATCTAGAAATATTAAATAATTGTGTATTTGTTATAAATTATATTCTATAGAAACCTGTGGAAATTGTGATTTTTTTATAGAAATCTATAGACGACCTACAGAAAATCGTATCAATTTTCCCCAGGTTTCTACAGGATAGATATTTAATAAAATTTTATAGAATTTTCCCCGATTTTTTCTATAGAATCTAATATCCGTGTATAGCCACATAGTTTTCAACCGAAAATGGAGGCAAAATAATTAGTTTATGGATCGAATAAAATATAATAAAACAAATGGTGATATCCATAAATTCATTAAAAAATTCAGGCCACGTTCAACATTAAGAAAACATTTACCGATGCAAGGGATTTCGAAATTGTCTTTCGACAATTCCGAAATCACTCCAAATAACTCGGGCCGCTTAAAACCCAAGAAAATACAATACGAAGGTAGAACAATAATCAGCGAAAATTCGACCGTGTGACAAAATATCACACCTCGAATTTTCGCCATCAATCATTCCCACTGAATCAGTTAATGCCCCAAATTCAAAACTATAAAATCGTTCCCCGACCACTAGTCCCGGACATAACAAAATAAAAAAAAAAGTAAACAAAAAAATATAAAAATAATTCCTATGGAGCGGTAGGTGGCATGAGAGTCGTCAGACTGCGGTTTCTTCCAAAAATTCTTGATTTTTCCAGAATAGAGTAGATCATAGAAAGCTCTAAATGAGATATGAGCTGAGTTGTTCGAAGGATGTGAATTCTTCGCGTGATCGACTTCACTCGATTAACTGTCTGCATAAAATCAAAAAAACCTTTTAAAAAAAACCGCCACCTGGCAACTCCGGGTGGGAGATGATGATGTGATGTCTCTAAAGGAGAATTTTCCATGGGAAATTCCGTGGTCGATAGCCGCATGACCGTATGATCTGAGAGAAGTCGTAAATGGGGTGTATTTACCAAGTTGAATGTCGTAAGGCTGAATGGCAGTTAGAAAGTGGTGCAAAAAATCAGCAGAGAGTAGTTGATTTTCAGCTAGCAATTGGGCCATTTTAAACTGATCCTCAGGCGGTGTTTTTGGAAAATCAAGTGTCGGTTTTAAAAGCGTCCATTTGTGTGGTTGGGCGAGGGTTTTCGTACGCGTTACGTTCCAAACTGGTTCACCGTTATCCATCCAATATATTGCTTCATTTTCGTTGGCTGGAAATGCTGGCTGGGTTGTTGACAAATATTGGGATTGAAATCCTATCGATTTACCCACAGCTATAAGCACAACTGCAACTGTAATTTTTAAGTGTTAAATGGATATTGGTTAAGCCGGTACAAATGCCAATACAATTATTAGAGTTATTGCTTTCAATTACTTGCGATGGAGTTGAACATTTCGATTGTTGAACGATTTATTTATGGTTTATGCTGTTGCTGAGATGGAGTACAACTAATTGTGGTGAATGGCGTGGTACAGTCAGCAAAACTGACGATG